GGAAAAGAGGAAGTGACATAATATTTCAGTAAAATATTTAAAAAAATCATCATAGAAAATAAATTTTAGGCTATTTTCTATTTATGCACCTTTTTAAAAGGCTAACATATATTGGTTGTATTCTTTAGGTTTAACCAGAGATCCCCTGAAACTTATTCTCATAAAAAAAAGGATAAAAAAGTGTCATTGGTTTAATGACTAGAAATTCTACATTGAAATTTGAAATTATAGTTCATTTCTCAGTGTTTTAGACTAATGTCCACATATAAAGATGAAGGCTAGCAAATCAATGAATCATAAGCATTTAACAAATCAACACTTTTATTTTGCATTTGATTATTGTTCCTTCATTTTAATCTGACATTTGGTAGGCTAAATATTAAGAAACAATATGTTAAGTTCAGGAAACTATACACTCTTGGTTCTTCACGGGACAATTGATATGCAGTGCTGTGCTCGCAACATTTCTTCTCTAAACTAGGATAGTTTTGAGTACTATGAGTTACCTGCTTACTATCACACTAAGATGTTGGGTGAAAACCATTTCTACCAAATATGACTATCCGTTTGCCCTAAACACAGCTATAAAGAGAACATTTCTTCCCCAATGCTCTTTGTGTATTAGGGAGGAAGAAATTTCTAGAACAGTATGCCAGAAACACTTTTGTGCTTTTTTTAAAAATTTTATTTTTATTATTTTATTTTATCTTTTTTCCTTTCCATAGGAGGTGAAATGACGTGGCTGATCAATGAGTTTGGCAAAAGAAGCTGAGCATACAATTCTTAAATAGAACCATTGCCAAAGCAACTGATGGGATTTTTGACATTTCTGAAAAGACATCCTCAGACATTTGCAAAAGCTTCTGATGCTATATAAAATGATAGCCTTTGCTTTCTAACTCTAAATTTACAGTCCATATTGATCTTCAGAAAACTAAATTTAAATATGTCTTTTCATCAGTATATTCACCTCTCCTACTACAAATCTTTTAACAATAGTCTCTAGAATGTTCTTTAAACAGGAGCATTATCTTCATTCTTACATGCCAAAGAATTCCAGAGACTCTTCTGATTAAATAAAGGTAATTAAATGAAAGTCTTGACTTTGTTCACGCATTAACTATGATTTTTATTAGGTGCAATTGTTTCCACCTACTTTACTTTGTAAAATTTGAGCTACATTTATTAAGGTAAAAATAAAAAATATAAATACTTTTATAAATTCAAATTCATGGTTAAAAAAAGGGAGGTAGCTTGAAATGTTTATTAATTTTGAACATTTTCATAGTTACATTTCTCATCTCTTTGGAAGAATACCTGACAAAAACTAATTAACCTGATCATGGCTTTTTAAATTTTATTATTATTATTATTATTATTATTATTAGTTTTTAGACATAGGATTTATCTGTGTAGCCCTGGCTGTCCTGGAACTCACATTGTAGACCAGGCTGGCCTTTGCCTCTGCCTCCAGCCTGCTGGGACTAAAGGTGTGCGTAACGAAACCTGGCTGCTGATGGCTTTTCAATCTTACATTCAAATGCTCCCTTTTAGTCTTACTTTATGGCCTACTGTCATAGTTTGATCAAGAATTCTATTTTGTTCTGTTTTTTCTCAGTATGACTTCTAACTTACTCTAGATACTAAGTACTTACCATCTAATCCTCCTCAGGTAGCTGTGAAATATGCATGATATTTCTCAGTTACAGATGTCCCTCACTGCTGGGGGCTGCTTTCTCATGTAACAGATGCTGTAGCCAGAACATCTGTGAGTGGTATAGGGACCTGAAAGAGAGGGTCATGGCAGACAGAGACACAGACTCTGGCTTCACTTCAAGAATGTGCAGTTTTTCCTTTTCCCACTGCTGCTTATATATTGTTTAGTTAGCTACTAGAGATACCATTGCAAGCAGAATTTGAAAAAAAAAAATTTCTGAGTTCTTCCTTCCACACATCCCAGCAAACAGCATCTTTTGTCCACTTATCTGGGTTCTTCCTTCCTCACTTCCCATCCATGTAGCTTTGTTTTGCTTGGGAAGACATTCCTCCAAGGTTTTATCTTGTCCCTACAGTTTTCCACAGTCACCAGGCCACATCTGGGCCAGGCTTTGTGGTTTAGCAAGAAACTACAGACTGTGTGGACCCTGACCAAGATGTCCATACATTAGAGAGAAGTATAGAGAAAAGCCTATGAGAATGCATATAAAATACATTTGAGTAAGGAGGAGAATACTATTAATTTTGTTTTGATATTTCTTTATTTACTTAATTTTATAATGGCATCAGATAGTATTAAAACAAACAAACAAACAAACCAGCACACATTCCATTCTTCCGGGTATCTTACGTAGGGCACCCACTTCTCTGCCTCACTGTTGCTATTCTATATACAGACATATACATCCAATGTGCAAATACATGCACCTCCACATGACAGATCTTCATGGCCAAGGAGATAATGTTGTCTGTATACTTTTAGTATTAAACACTGTGTCACGGCTGAGCCAAACTCTGCCAATGAATGCTTACGGAATTATGTTGAATCTAAGTGCTACTGTCTATAAACCTGGGCAACAAGTGAACTCTTACGTTCTCTTTACCACTAAATGCATTCGAGGTACTATAAACATTTTTTTTTCTTATGCACAGTACGTTCACAGTATATATGAGATCTACTCTTACTTCCATCAGTAGGGTCGCTTAATTAGGATTTCACAAAGTCCCCTCCTTAATATGCCTTAATGTTCCCTGGCTGTTCTGCAAAATGGAAACATTGGAAATTTACTCCACAGGGCTGTGTGGTAAAAGACATCAGAACTCCATTTTAATGAAGGTTATTCAGTGTCGTCTACAGGGATCTGGCACAAGTTTTTGAGTATTTTTTTCAACTGTGTTTCCTCTCTAATCTTGTTGGTGACTATCAATATGCCCTACTCTCCTACATTAATTTTACCTTCCCTGTTAAGCTTGAAATTGGATTTTCCTAAGGCGTATCTTTTATATTTTTGCCATCTCTCTCCTAACGTGTCTCATGTAATGTGACACGTAACTGAGGTTTCTTTCCAAGGTGTTCCTTCTTATTAGGCACACATATCCATTATGTGCTGGTAGGACACAGTGAGGTGAGGCACTCTATCTGCACACAGAGAGAGAATGCTAACATTCTCCTGAACAGCGAAGATGGAGAGGCTTACTCCTTCCCCTTTTTATAGGGCAGACCGGTTCACATTAAGATTCCATAAGTGAAGAAGAGTGATGGGTACGGAGCCCCCTTTGGTGACTTAGTTCCATCTGGTGGCACAGTACAAAGTCCACTTGAAGTCAATCATCTCAGTGAAATCCAGAATATTTGAGGGTGAACTCTGGACAACCTGCTGACTTGGGAAGTGGCTTTTTTCGAGTTTTTTTTTAAACATTGGGTACTTTGTTGTCAGGATTTACATATGATTTGGGTTGGTGTCTTTTCCAGCATTTGGTAGATTAAATAAGAAAAGAATATATATATATACACACACACACACACACACATACACACACACACACACACACACACACACACATATATACACACACACTTAGTAATGTATAATCCTTAAAAACAGACAAAATTTAACTATTTCCAAGGAAATTTGCAATATATTTATGTTTTGGTTTAGTTTCTGTTGCTGTAACAAAGTATCATGACAAAAAGCAACACAGAAACAACAGATTTATTTGCCTGACAAATCTAGGCTATAGTCTGTCATTTCAGGGAAGTCACATGAAGAGCTCAAGACCAAGTCAGGTCATATCCACAGTGAAGCACAGAGAGGAACAAATGCCTGAATTTTAATGCTCATCTATTTTTTTTTTCCTCTTAGAGAGGCCAAGGCCCAGTCGACTTGGGTGCAGCCAGAAACGGTGCGGCCTACAGTGGTTTGGATCTTCCTACACAAATAAACAATCAAGAGAAAACTTCATAAACATGCCTACTGGCCAACTCCCATCTAAACAATTTACCAGAAGACTCTCTTCCTGCATGATTCTAGATCGTGCCAATTTGGCTGCCTGAACTAACCAGCATATCTTATTTTTAAATATGTACGTTACATGGCAAAGTAACTTTGCTATGTAGCTTCAGCCACGTTGCTTCCAAGGAACGATCTGATTGGCTAGAATACATCACCTATTAGTCCTTATGTTCTGGCAAGGTTCTTTGGCAGTTTTTTTGGTCTTAACTGACTATGTGTGACTAAAAAGCCAAGTTTTTACCTGCAATGTAGCCGTTGAGAATGTGGCCCAATTCCTTCATGGGAGAATAATGGTCATAAAGAAACATAGTTTTTAAGTATTCATTTATGTGCCTAAGAAAAGATGTTAGCCAAATCAACAGTCAACAACAGATAATTGACACCTGTGCTGTCTTAGGGTATTTCTATGGGAATGCCTCTGTGTTTTGGAAGTAGTCAAATAAGCCTGTGAGGTCAGTACACTTCAAATTCCATACCGGGTACTGCTGTTTGTTAATACAGTTCATTATTTCATTAGTACTTGCTGAAGTGCTAATATTTGTTTTCAAGTGGACATGTTTTTAGAGTCCCTCTTCTAATAACTAATAGGAAAATGTAGCAGGCCATTGACACGCTCTTATCTAGTTAGCCTCATATCAAAGTCTCTTTCGCGTGTGATGGTTTGGGCCATGTGCTCAGAATTATAGGATATTAAATTTAGAACAAATAGTGAGCTTGCATAGATGAGCACAGAGTTTACAGAGATGAGAATTTGTGTGGGATTTCTAGTCCTTATTCTTTAAATCCCCTTCAGCATTTCAAGGAGGGAACAAAAGTCTCAGTCTTCTTCACTTGTTCAGGTGACACCATGAGTTAAGTGTGTTCATAAACCCTGTAAATCTTTGAAAAACATTCCATTTATACCATAAAACTGGCCGGGAATTTGAGATCTTCACGTAAATACCTGTTCTTGCTTTTAGTACATGCTCGTCATGCTGAAAACAACAATCGATGTGTAGCCAGTGGGTGGCGCAGCTTGGTGAACTGATGATCTTTGCTCTGGTCACTCAGGCAGCTCTCAAACCAGCAATGCCTCCAGGAATCAAGGACGAGCCTTTCAGTGTTTTCTGGGCTGCCCCGACTTTGTTCTGTAAGGATAATTTCAACGTAAAAATTAATCTGCAAGTATTTAACATCATTCCAAATCCTTTAGAAACGCAGAGTGGATCCACAATCACCATATTTTATCCAAATGAACTCGGATATTACCCTTACTTCTCTGAAGATGGAAAATCCTTCTCTGGTGGAATACCTCAGAATGTGAATCTCTCCGAGCACCTCAAGAAGAGTGCCAACGACATTGCGGGTGCTGTTGAATTGTGGAGGTCAGAAGGACTTGCAGTCATCGACTGGGAAGGCTGGAAACCCCAGTGGGACAGGAATTGGGGCAGCAGAAGAATATATAAGAACCATTCGTTAGCCTTCACGCGGCACCGTCATCCCGACTGGTCAGAAACCAAAGTGAGAACAGTTGCGCAACAAGAATTTGAAAATGCTGCACGGAGTTTAATGAATGTTACTCTCACGTTGGCTTTAGAAATGAGACCAAAGCGCTTATGGGGCTTCTATCTCTATCCGGATTGCTACAATTATGATTACCGGATAAATGCAAAGTTCTACCAAGGTAGTTGCCCAGATGATGAAATTTTCCGCAATGACCAACTCTTGTGGCTGTGGGAAAAAAGCGCAGCACTTTATTCTTCCATATATTTGAGTAAAATATTAAAATCAAACTTAAATGCACTGAAATTTGTTCATTTCCGAGTGAGAGAAGCCCTGAGAGTTGCTGAAATGGCCAGAAAGGACTATGCGTTGCCAGTTTTTATTTTTTCCAGGCCATTTTATTTGCAGAGTGTTGAAGCTCTGTCAGAGGTAAGCAAACAAACAAACAAAAAACAAAAAACCCAAAACAAACAAACAAAATCCCTCACTTGAAAACAATGTAAGGTTAGTAGAATATATAAGTACGGCTTAGAAATCTTTGTTTAATATTCATTTCTCGTTAAAATGTTATTCTAGTATTTAAGGAGCATGTTTATTCGAGTGTGAACTTAATTCTGAAGTTCCAAACAACTGGTGATTAGATATGCTATCTAGAGTTTTAGAAGATAAAAAACTCATTTAGACATCCAGGGCTACACAGCGAAACCCCAGCTCAAAAGGAACAAAACAAAACAAAACAACCCTCTTTCCTCCCTTAACCAACCAACCAACCAACCAACCAACCAACCAAGAAAGCTTTAGAACTCACACTAGATTTTTCTCAGGGTTCTGGTGATTTTCCAGATTAGAAGTATATAAAATGGATGTTTTGGACTAAGGTATTAATCAATTGAACTTTTCATTATACAATATTTTTCAGTGTATTAGGCTTATTGAAAAGATGGCATAGATTTGGTTGAATGTTTCTCAGGAGTTCACAATATGGTCTAATAGTCAATGCCATTGGATTGAGCAGATTATATAAAAAGATACTTTGATAATTGGTTGTAATTGTCAACTTCACACAATTTGGAATCACCAAGGAAGAGATTATCTATCTATCTATCTATCTATCTATCATCTATCTATCTATCTATCTATCTATCTATCTATCTATCTATCTATCTATCTATCT